CCGGAGCCCCCCGCCAGGCGGCCGGCGCCCGGGCCCTCCTGGCCGCCCTCTTCGCCTTCCGCGCCTTCCGCGAGAACTGGCGCCGGGCCTGGCTGCGCGCACTCAACCAGCAGGCACGGCGGCACGGGGTAAGGAGGCGGCGGCGGCGGGGGTGGTGGTGGCGGCGGCGAGTCCCGCGCGGCCCCGTAAGCCCCTGCTGGCCGGGGGGGGGCTCTTCGGGCCGTGCTGGGTGGTGGCTGGGGTGTCCGCTCACAGGCGGAGGGGGCAGGACGAAGCTCCCCTCCCCCTCCTCCAAGCGCCAGGGCTTTGCTGTTGCCAGCGGGCCGGTCAGCGGCTCCTCTCCTCCCAGTCATGAATAACCAGGAAGCAGCGGCCTTTCGGCTGAGTCGGCGCTCTGGTCGCCCCCGCCCCCCCCCCACCGCGCAGGTGTTTGTTTTGGCTCTTCTTCCTTTCCACGTGCAGCAGGCAGGTGTTCCCTTTTCCCAGTTCCGCTGATAGAAATGCTGGGCAGGGGGAGGAGGAGGAGGAGGAGGGCATCATTTGAACCCCAACCTCAGCCGCAACCCCAGCTTGGTCAGGGACTCGCCCACTTGGAGAGTCTGGGAAGTGGGTGCCCTCTCAGGTCGCAAACATGGGCCTGGTTTCCCACCTGTCCAAAGGGTGGACGCCCGAGTCAGTTTCCTGCTAGGTGTGCAGGCCACAAAATGGATGCAGTGGTTGCATTGTGCTGTGTTTGCTGCTTTGAATAGGAGAGGAATAACGATGCAGAAAATTCCATCTCTCCGTGGCAATGCATGCATGGCAGGCTGCGATATAATAAACACTCAAACCCCTATCCAGTGACACTGGCCAGAGTTTGGGAAGTGGGCAGGCATGGTTAGTGCCTGCTTTTGTCTCTGGCACAGTGAGATGACCAGTGGCCAAAGTCCAGTGGAAGGGAGGAAGGAAGGGAGTGATGCGGGGGGCACAGTTTGGAGCTGGACTCTACACCAGGGCCAGGGAACACTGGAAGCTTCGTAGAGATGTCCGGGGTTATTTTGTACTGTTAACACACATGTACACCAAAGCTCCTCCAGTCTTTGCCTGAGGCCCTGGGCACCCCTCTCCTGGTGCCTGGCCACACACAGACCCATCTCGCTGCCCTTCTGTGGTTCCGGGATCAGCATTCCTGTAGCTCTCCACCGCAGGATCCAGTTCTTGGGAGAGCCATACAGTAGTCTGTGGCCAGGTATCCCTTTCAGGGGGTGGCTTCTCAGGGCTGGAGTAAACACGGGATAAACAGAATCTTTTTGGGTCTTGGCTTCTCCGCTGTTGTGGGAGGTGGCTTTTGGAGCTGTGCCGGCAGCGTTCAGCTGTTCTGGTTTGGCTTAGCCGTGCTGCTTTGGTCGCTACACGTCTCAGTGCCAAAATCTGTCAGGAGCCGGGTCTGCATTCTCTTCCGCCACCGGTTTTCATGCTTTTGATTTTTGCTGGCTTCGATGTGTTGTAGGAAGCCATCTTGGAAGCAGACGTTATTTTTCATGTCGAATTTATTGTGTGTGTGTGTGGGGGGGGTGTCTCGTGTATATGGGACCTTCCTTTGGCTTTTGAGGCTGGTGTTCAGCTGGTTCAGTGAGCTCAGGTTTGTCCTTTGCTCAATAAATCCGGGCCCTCTAAGTGCTGTCCTGGCACAAGTGGTGGTGGTGGTGGTGGCCAGTGTTCCCTCTAAGCCGAGTCAGTGTGAGCCAGCTCACAGCTTTTTTAGCCTCCGGCTCACACGTTTTTGCCTCAGCCCAGGAAGGAGGGCTCCAGAGCAAACTGATTTATGCAGGAGCCAGATCGCCCGCTCACCCCTTTCATGCCCGTAGCTCACACCGTAGAATTTTGGCTCACAAGACCCTCTACAGCTTAGAGGGGGGAGCGTTGGTGGTGGTCTCTGTGTGGCAGGTCTCACTGAGCCTCCTTCGTGCCGGCAGAGGGGCAGAGTTCCTAGCCAGGCCAGTCCCCTGGGGCCCTCCTTGTGGCAGGATTCCGGGCCTCACCTGCTCCAGCCTGCCAAGCGGGGGACCAGGAAGAGGAACCCCACGTGAAAATGCTTCCCCCCACCACCTTCCTTGGACTTCAGGTTTGGGCTCAGTGGGGAGGGAAAGAGGAAAGAGGCCGCACACGGTTCCAGGGGGGACGGGACCCACAAGCCAAGAGATCTTTTCTGCCATGGGGTCTGTGTGCCATGGGGGGGCCAAGCCCATGCATGTGTGGGAAGGAGTTGTTGTTTCTGGGTTCCTTGTGCGTGTGGTTGGGGGCGGGGGGGAGAGAAGCATCTCATTCACCACGCCTGTCCCTTCTCTCGTTGGGCCCCAGCCAGCACCACGTGAAGGCGAGCCTTGACCCATATGGGTGTGTGTGGGGAGGGCCCCCTGCTCCATCCCTGCCGCAGTGCTGCCCCTTCTGCCACACGGAGGCGGGCATTCCAGGCCCCCGCCCGCTCCCATGGCAACTCTGCCTGTGCTGCACCTGAATGCCTTGGGCAGCCTAGGAATCCACAGCAATTGGCAGAGAGGGCCGAGCTGTTCTCTGAGTCACTCCACGGCCACCGGGCCAGCGGTGAATAATGGAGGAGCCCGCCTCTCCCTGCCGTTCCTGGAGACCCAGCTGCCGCCTCCTTCCACCCCCAGGTTTCCCTGGTTGCCAGGAGCTCCCCGGCAGGGCAAGCCAAGCCATTCTCCTCTAAAAACCCACCCTTGAGCGGAGCCTGCTCTGCCTTGTGTGGCTAGAACTGCTGCGTGCCAGGCAGAAATCCAGCCGGAGAAGCTGTCTCTGTCGCCTCTCCGCTCCGCAGGCTGGGAAAAGCCTCTCCTCTTGAGCGTCCCTGTCAGGCAGTGACGGCATCCCAACATGGGCCTCCTCGCCAGCCGGCCTTGTTTCTTCCGGGGATGCACCTGCCCTGCCTCTCCGGGTGACCTGCCGGCAGTGGCTCGCGGGGCGAAAACCAGACAGGGTCCCGGAGGGCGGTTTCCTTCCCGAGGCCCCTGAGCTGTCTTTCGAGCCCCTGCCGGCCTTTCAAGAGCAGCACAGTTTCCAGGCTGCGACCTGTCAGGAGTCCTGGCTGCCTCCGTCAGGCGGCTGGAAAGCTGACACCTGGTGGCGGGGGGGGGGGGGGGGTGGCTTGCTGGCCTCTCAGGAGCTGCCGCAGACCGACATGGCTCCCCACCTGCAGGGGCCTTCCAGGCTGGCGAGGGCAGGGGTGGCGTGCCAGGGCACGGAGGGGGGGCTCCGCCCGCAGCCCTTGCCTGGCCAGTGAGCTGCTGGATCTTCCCTTCCCTTTCCCCACCCCTCTTCTCTCCCTGCCTGTGTCCGGCCTGGTCCTGGCCAGGGCCCTCCTTGTGCGAGGGCTGCCCTCTCTGGACTGGGAGCTTCCTGGAGATTGGGGGGGCAGGGCCTGGGGGCGGGGCCGAGGGAGCTCGGCAGAGGTGGGATTCCATGGCGGAGCCCACCCTCCAAAGCGGCCATTCCCTCCAGGGCAACGGACCTCTCCAGCCTGCAGATCAGGTGTCGTCCCGAGGGAGGGGCCGTGGCTCAGTGGCTGAGCCTCTGCTTGGCAGGCAGAAGGTCCCGGGGTTCAGTCCCCGGCCCCTCCACAGGAAGAGTTGAGGCGCTAGGGGACGGGGAAGACTGTTGCCTGCCTGGGAGAGACCCTGGGGAGCTGCTGCCGGTCTGAGCAGACAGGACTGGCCTCGATGGACCGGGGTGTGTGTGTTCCTGACCAATGTTCCCTCTAAGCTGAGTCAGTGTGAGCTAGCTCATAGTTTTTTTAGTCTCCAGCTCACACATTTTGGTCGTAGCTCAGGAAGGAGGGCTCCGGAGCAAACTGATTGATGCAGTCGCCAAATGGCTCGCTCACAGCTTTAATGCCAGGGGCTCACAAAGTAGAATTTTTGCTCACAGGACCCCACAGCTTGGAGGGTGCACTGGTCCTGACTCAGTGGGAGGCCCGCGCCATGTGTGCTGATGTGCCGCAGCTGGCCTCGGGTGGGCAAAGCGGCCCACCTGCAGGTATGGCCTGTGTGGTCAGAGGCTCATGGTTCTCTTGTCATGGCGACCGGCAGCACAGTTTCGGTCCTAACCCCGTTTTGTTCTCTGTCAGAGCTCCATCCAGATTACCTTTGAGGACAGCCCTCAGCTGCTGCCCGGGGTCCACATCCGTCACGTGAGCTGTGCTGACCAGTCAGACCGCAGCATGGTGAGTGGCTCTCTCTGTCCCCCCTCCGTCTCTCCGATGGCCCTGGCGGTGGGCACAGGTTACAGGGGGGGCGATGGCATGGCAGAAGGGAATGAAAGGCCAGCCCCCCCCCCCCGCCAACGGAGCAGGAGCCCCGCATGATCTTTTGGCCCCGGCCTCCTTTGCAGTGATGGAGCTCCAGTCTCGGAGGCCCCCTTGCAGCCGGGCCCATCCGGTGTGGGGGTGTGGGGCAGTTTATTCTTATGGGGCAGCGAGGCAGCCGGCGACCGCAGCAGCTGTGCTCCTTCACTTGGGGTAAAGTGAAAACCTTCCTGCCAAAGGCCAGCCTAAAATTTGACGAAGGAGCCAGGGCAAGGTGGCCGTCGCAAGGAAGTCAGAAGGGGACTCTGAGAAAAAAGGGCACGTACCGTGACCCTAGAGCTGCCGACCCCCCAGATGTCCAAGGGGTAGATTTGTGTTAGCCGAACCCCGTCTGGACAGGCCGATCCCAGGGTCGGTCAAAGAGACGGGCGGAGGGAGCCCAGACGGTTCTCCTGCAGCTTCCTGCCTCCCGCCGCCCCCTGCCGGCGCTGCTCTTTGAGGTTTGCCTTTTGGGTGGTCCTTCAGGTGGGCACCATGACTCCCCCCCCTCTCCCTTGCTCCCCAGGTGTTATGTTGCCACCTTTCGGCCGATGCCATGCAGTTCCCTGTTTCGGTCACTCAGCAGTCGCCAGCTGCTGTTTCTATGGACAGCTACTGTGTCACCCTGGCGGTGCTGCAGGCCCAGGTACGTGCCGGGGCTGGGTGCCTCTGCAGGGGAGCTGGTTCCGAGGGCTGGCAGGCGGGCGTGTTTGTGGCTGGGCTGTGGCCGCCCCTGAGCTTGACTCGAGCCTTCCGTGTGTGTCGATTTGGGTTGTTTTAGCTCACTGGAAGGCAGCCGTACTTTACAGGCAGGGGGTTCGGAGTCCTGTCCCCCCCCCCAGCAAACAGCTTCACCAGTAGGGGTTCCTAATGCTAACGAGGGCTTTCTTCTGTTGGCCTGGCCCAGCTGGTGATACGTCTGGAGGAGGTGGAGGACGAAGGCCTGCTGGTGTCCTGGGCCTTCAAGGACAGGCCGGACTTGAACCTGATGGTGGCGCCGAAGTTTCAGCTCCATGACGTGAGTAAAGTGCCAAGGCAAGGGGGGTGGGCGACGAGGTGGGGGGCAGCCCTTCCCTGTCCTGGGGCTGGGGAGCACTGCGGACCCAACCCCCGTCTCGGCACCTGCATCCCTCGAATCCTCGCCTCGAGCTGGAGGAAGTCCGCGGCGCCTGGCATGTGGGTGCTGGTGAAGAACAGTGGGCCCTCCTCAGTGCTCCGGTGGCAGCCGTATCCCAGACTGGGTGCAGCCCGGGGCTTGCTGGCTGTGCAGACCAGACTGTGGCATGTGCCACTACTGGTGTGGCGGCGGTGGTGGGAAACGCAGTCACGTGGCCGCTGACGCGTGCCTCTGTGGGGTTTCCACGGCAAGAGAGGCTCAGAGGCGGTTTGGCGTTGCCTGCCTCTGCGTAGCGACCCTGGACTTCCTTGGTGGTCTCCCACCCCAGTACTAACCTCGGCTGATCCCGTGACGCTCCTGAGGTCTGACCGGATCGGGACCGCCTGGGCCACCTGGGTTATTTCCCTCCTGCTTTAGAAGACGTCTGGGTGGCTCGTGGCCAGTGGAACCCAGAGTAGAAGAGCTGGCGCCAGCCTTCTGTTCCACTTGCCCTCTACAGATGGGCGCCCCTCCTCGTTTCCCTGGCTTGGTGCTGAGCTGTAACGCAGCCGAGGTCTCAGCTCGTGGCCTGAGACACCTGCCTGTATGGGGAGGTGCTGCCTCACCTGCTGTGGAGGCGTTTTTGCCCATCTGCCCGGGCGGGAGGGGGGGGAGTGTGAGAGAGAGAGACTGCGTAAAAGGATAAAAGTTTTGTCCTGTACAGAACTCGGCAGGTGGCCGGTGCCCCATGCTTGACAGAAGCGGCCGTCTCTCTGCTCTCCCCCTTTGGAAGCTGACCGGGAGGGGCTACTGGGGCTCCCCCCCCTGCAGCAGGTGCCTCCTCGGCTCCGTTTGGGTAGCAAAGGGCCTCTCCGTGGGAAAGCCCCTCGGCCTGCCTTGCGTTTACCTCCTCTGCTGTGCTCCCTCCAGGACAACGATGGGAAGGTAGACCTGTCCACCATCAAGGATCTGATTGAGGACTCTGTCGTCAGCACTCAGCCGGCCATGATGGTGAACCTGGAGGCCTGCGTCGCTGGTGGCAAGGTGGTGAAACGGGGACCCTTTCCCAAAGAGGAGGGCGCACTACACCCCCCCGGGGGGCCTTGTGTGGATTGTGGGGTGGGAGACGGCCTCTTTGCCCCCCAAGCAAGGGGTCCCGGAGTGGGCTGTGTGTGGCCCAGGGCTGGAGGGGCAAGTCCAGGGCCCTGCTGGCACGCCCCCCCCTCCCCTCCCCAGCTGCGGGCTGGCCCTGTGGTTCCCTCCCTGCTCAGTGGGAGCCTCTCTTCTGCGCTTTCCTCCACAGGCGTCTTGTAACAAGCGCCTTCAGGGGTCCCCGTCTGGCGCAGCAGCTCCCATGCGCAAGCTGCTACTTCAGCACCTGCGGGCCCTGCGCCTGGACTGCGAGGAAGCTCAAGGTATGGCGGGAGGGGGGTTTCTGTCATTGGCCACTGCGGGGGTGTGTGCACTTTTCCTCTTGCAGTTTGGCAGCTCAGGAGTGGGGCGGGAAGGTCCGCCTGCTTTCTCTGGGGGGCAGAACTGAGCAAGGGGTGCCGGCAGCTCGGAATCCAGAAGTGCTGCGTGGGATGCTGGCTGGCTGGCTGGCTCTGTGGGGCTGGGGCTGTGGAGTCTTTAAGAGGAGGCCGTGCCTTCCCAGCATGCAGCATACTCCATGAGAGTACGAGCAGGGAGCAGACTGGAGAGCCGGTTGGGCCTGGAGGTGGAACGTGGGGGCTCAGGTCCCTGCTCCGCAACGGCTCAGTGAGTGGCCTGGGACAGTCTCCCCCCCTTCCCCCCCCCCATTTTCAGTTCCCTGCCTTCAAAATGAGGATGTTGACATCCAACATAGCAGGCTTGTTGTGGGGAGAAACCGCACAGCTGCAGTGGGGGCAGTACAGGGGCTGCACAGGGTGGGCAGCAGTGTTCCCTCTAAGCGGAGTGAGTGTGAGCTAGCTCACAGTTTTTTAGCCTCTGGCTCACGCGTTTTCGTCTTAGCTCAGGAAGGAGGGCTCCAGAGCAAACTAATTTATGCAGGAGCCAAATCACTCGCTCACAGCTATAATGCCAGGAGCTCACACAGTAGAATTTTTGCTCACAAGACTCCACAGCCCAGAGGGAGCATTAGTGGGCAGGCGCTTGTCCTGAAACACGCCTCCTGGGCACAGCCAGGCCTGTTCCCAGCATTTTGTGTTCTGTGCCCTTTCTGGTAGGCGGGCAGCTGTGCTGTGTGGTGGAGCTGGACAGCCCTTGGCAGCGGAAGCGAACCCAGGCGGTGCCGGCCAGCCGCTCCAGCCCCCCGGGCCAGGTGGAGTGGGCCGACAGACTTCTCCTGTAAGGAAGACGGAGCCTCACCTTTTGCACCTGTGGGGGGAGGGAGGGGGGCTGCCACTGGCCAAGGCCCCCCAAGGTTTGCCAGGGAGGGCAGAACCACCTCTCAGAAATCCCTTGTTTGCACTGGCATGGATGCCAGCGGATTTGGGCCTTGGCAGAAGACAAGGCAGAGGTGCTTTCCCGAAAGCATTTCCATATCCTGCATGCTCTCACCTGCTTCCCTGGAAACAACTTCCTTCTCCTGCAGAATCCTTTTCTTTTTGGGCTTTCCCCCCTGCTTTGTGGAGCACTATGGGGGGGGGGAGCCTGTAGGGATCCCTCTGAAGCCCGGATGCAGGAGCAGGAATAACCCCCCCCCTTGTCTGCCTGGGTAGGGAGCTCGGACCAGGAAGCAAAGAGCTGACGCTGAGTGTGCTCGGGAGCAGCAGTGCCGGCCAGGGTGAGTGTCCAGGGGGGAGGGGGTGGCAAGGAAGGCGGTCTGCTGGCGTGGGGCCCAGGGAGGGACAGCCCCCCCCCCACCCAGGGTTTGAACTGGGATGGCCAGGGGCTTGCTGCACAGCCAGGGGCCCAGAAGCATGAGGTTCTCTTGACCATGCCAGTCACTGCAAGACGTTGAGGCTGGCAGACTGGAAATCTCGTTTCAGGATCCTGTGCTTGGTGGCCCCACCCGCAGGCATGAGATGACCAGAGGCAGGGCCTTTCTTAGTGTTGGCACCTTGCCTGTGGACGGCTCGTTCCCTTGCTGCTTGCCAGGTGCCTGCTTGCTCTCTTTGAGGCACCGGGCCAAAGGGTGGCCTTTTTACTCAGGCCTTTCTAACGGGGGGGTGGGGGGGTTGTCTTTCAACACAGCTTTTATAGTTGGCAGAATTGTTTTATGACACTTGTTTTTAAACTGCAAAAAGTTTTGGGGCTGAGTTTTCTTAATTTTAATGGCACCTTGAGCTGGTTCTCTGGAGAGGTGGCAAGGGGACTTTTCTAGAAGGTCAGCGAGACGTGGCATGAATCGGCTTGCCTGCCTTCGGCGGGGGTGGTGGTGGTGAATATTTTTGGGTGTTGCACAAGTCCCTGCGGCGTGGCGTGGGGCAGGGAAGCGCTCGGTCCCGCGGTGTTCCCATGGCTGCTTTTCTCTTGCAGACACCCTCTTGGGGTTTGTCACAATCCGACTGAACTCTGCCTCCCAAGAGCCACGTGGGCAGCAGCAGTACCAGTTGAATCCCAGGGCTGGCAGGAGGCTGCCGCCTGCAGCAGCCCTGATGGTGGAGGTGAGGTGGGGGGGGGGGCTTGGGGTCTGTGCTGAGACACCCCCCTCCCCCCGGAAAGGGACCATGGTGCCACCGGGGTGGTCTCGTCCAAATGCTTCACGCAATTCCCTTCCCCGCTTTCCTTGTATCTGTGAAGTATCGTTGAGGTTCCACCTTCAAACAGAGATGAGCAGGTGCCAGAAAGACAGCGGGAGGGAGGGAGGGCGGGCTGCAGCTCTGCCCCCCAGCTGGTCTCCTGGGCCTGGCTGCTGGACTGACACGTGCTTACAGCAGCTTAAGGAAATAGATGAATTAATAGGAATCACTTATGACTGAACATCACACAAAGCTCCAAATTGTTTAAATTCATAATTTGTTCATTATTAAACATCCTTCTTCTTATTAAGCATCCTGTTGGTTATTTAATACATGCATGACATACATGACATTGATACATAGATAAACTGGGGACTTGCAGAAAACTCTACAATCCCAGAAAAGACTTCACAATTCCAATGGACTGAAAAGCATGATTTCTAAATGTCCATAAAGCAAGTAAATCCAGTCCTTAAGGCAAAAAATAAGCTGCAGTCGTAAATCCAGTCCTCAAGACTTAAAACAAACAATGATGAGCTGCAGTCGAAACAAACAATCATGCTTTTCTGTCCATTGGAATTGCAAAGTCTTTTCTGGGGTTGTAGAGTTTTCTTCAAATCCCCAGTTTATCTATGTATCAATTGTATTTTATGCATGTCTTAAATAACCAACAGGATGCTTAATAAGAGGAAGCATGTTTAATAATGAACAAATTATGAATTTAAACAGTTTGGAGCTTTATGTGATTTTAAGTCATCAATGAACTGACATGTCCAGTGGGAGCGGAGTGGGGCCGATTCTGCGGGGCACCTGCTGGGTCTGCATGCCGGCTGGTCTGACGACGTTTTTGCCTTTGGCGCCTCTTAGCTGCTCTACCAGGAGTCGCCAGAGCTTCAGCCGGCATCGGGGCTGCGCACCAGCATCACGCCCACCAAGAAGGTTGAGATGGACCGCACCATCATGCCTGACGGCACCATTGTCACCACAGTCACCACCGTCCAATCCAGGCCCAAAATGGACTGCAAGCTTGGTGAGGCCTGGGGCTGGGCCCTGCCTCTCTCTGGCTGGGCCTGCCCTGAAGAGCATTTGCCGGCCGCTGTGATAGATCCCTTCTCCCACCGATGGAGGGAGAGGAGCTGCAGCACTAGTGCAGGAAAGGCCGGGGTGCGTCTGTGTGTGTGAGGCCACAGTCCCAGTGAGTGTTGGAAGCCATGAGGGGAGGTGCTCAGAGCCGCACACACAACCTCTCCACTGGCTCAGTCTTCATCTGCAGATTTCGAGCAAACGTTGTGCTTACAACTGACACACCAGAGGTTCAGTGGGAAGGCGATGCACACGGGGACAAAAGATCCCAGCTTCGAGTATAAGCGAGTTTGGCATGGACTTGCTGAAAGCGAGAGGGAAAGAATGGGGCCATAGTAGTGGGTACCTCAATGAAAGTGTCCACCTGTTGTGCTGCAGTGATTAAAAAAAGGAAATTCTGTTTGGGAATTAGTAGGAAGAATACGGTGACCAATATTATAATTTCCCGGTACAGGCTTATTTGGAACACCCGGGTACGGTTCTGGTCACCGTATCTCAAAAGAAAAAGAAAAAAGGACACTGCAGAGCTGGCAAAAGTGCAGAAGAGGGCAGCCAAGATGATTCAGGGGTTGGAGCGCCTCTTCCCTGAGAGAAATGACTGCAGAGTCTGGGACTTTTTAGAAAAGGGACGACGAAGGGAGGACAGGATAGAGATTTAGGCTGATTTCCCACAAGCGCTGCTCCACGTGCTCTTCCCTTTTGCCCCGGTGGTACGTGTCAATTTTACACAAGCTGCTGCCGGCTGCATTTTGCCCCGCAGCTTCACGTGATTTCCCCCCTGTTTACTCAATCCTGTTTTTAAAGGATTGAGTAGACGTGGGGAAAATCGCATGAAGCTCCGGGGAGGGAGCAAAATGTGTCAGTGCAGCAGCTTGTGTGAAATTGACACCTACCATCGGGATAAAAGGGAAGAGCGAGCGTGGAGCAGCGCTTGTGGGAAATCAGCCTTATAAAATCACACATGGGGTGGAGAGAGTTGACAAAAAGAAATTTTTCCCCGTTTCCCAAAACACTTGAAATGGAGGGAATCCAGTGAAACTGATGGGCAGTAGGTTCAGGACAGACAGAAGGAAACACTACTTTACACCGAGAGTTATTAGAATGTGGAATTGGCTGCCAGAGGATGTTGTGATGGCCACAGGCATAGACAGCTTTAAAAGGGGATTAGATTCATGGACGAGAGATCTGTCAATGGGTACTAGCCATGGTGGCTGGGGGGCACCTCCACATTCAGAGGCACTAAGGCTCTGAATCCCAGAGCCAGGAGGCAACATCGGGGGAAGGCCTCAGTCTCTCTGCCCTGTTCTTGGCCCTCCAGAGCCACCGATTGGCCCCTGTGTGAGACAGGAGGCTGGACTAGATGGACCTTCCCTGGTCTGATCCAGCAGGGCTCTTGTTACATTCTTATCAATGTCTGTAAAGGGCGTGTTTGAAGGCTACTGCCCTTTGCCAAACTGCTGCTCCTGGTTCCCACCTGCTGTCCCCAGGGGCGTTATGGGTCAGGAGGTGCCACAGGGCTTGCCTGTTTGCCAGAGCTTGGCAGCGGGGGTTGAATGAATGGCAGGCATCTTTTAAGGGTGGGGGAGAGATTTGGGGTTTGCAGTTTTAGTTTCGGTTTGGGATGGGGGTGTTCTTAACTACTATCGTAAGCTGCCTTGAACCTCAAGGAAAGGCAGGATATACATGTTTTAATTGATAAATAAAAAGCGTAGTCCTTGCTCTGAGCAGCGGCAGCAGCAGCTCTGGGGACCAGGGCAGGCCGCCCGCCCTGAGCTCTGTGGGCCGGAGACGCTGAGATCGGGCAGCCGGGTGGGGAGGGAGAGGGTGGGCTGGGGCCTCGTCCATTGGTTCTGCCCCGTCCCGTCTTCCAGATTCACCCTCCAGGTCCCCATCAAAGGTGGAAGTGACGGAGAAAGTGACCACCGTGCTTCCGGAGAGCGGCTGCCCCAGCAAGGCCTCGCCCACCAGCAGCAGTAAGTCAGCCAACCAGGAGTGGCCTCAAGGCGGGAAGGGGCAGATGTCCCTCCAGGGGCACCAGAGACGGTCCCACCGCCCTTGGCACATGCTTGCT